TTGCTGAGTGACCAGTCAACAGCTGCAAGTCCATTTTGACCTACACGATAAGGGCTCTCCCACCTCCCTCTCTTTTGCAGTGGAAACGAAAGACCCCTGGTCAGCTCCTCAGGATATTTCAGTCTACAATGTTCCATCAAACCCCAGACCCTACAATAAGATTGTAATGTGTGTGGAAAGCTTTACAACTATCGGTGGTCACCTTTTTAGAGTCTCAATTGTAATATACAGTAGTATCAATGGTACTTGCACAGCACTGCCATACAGTACGTGCCTAAACTGGAAAATTCAGGAATGGAAAGAGCTTGGGAGGAATGGTGGAACTAAAATCGCAGCAATCTGCTGCAATGTTGCAGGCTCAGAATTCATGGAATTACACAGCCTGGATCAGACAGAATTAAACTGAGAACAGAATAGATAAAATGGCCTATAACCTGGACTGCTTTTTTTTTCATTTTAATTGAGGCAATCTTTAAATTCAATTTTAAAAAAGGAAGAAAAATTAGCAGATTAATAATTGAAAGCCCCATAGCTTTAAGTACAGCTCACGGGTCTTAAAAAGCAGCTTAATCATTAAGCGTAGGTTCCAGAACTTCGCAGTTCTGCGTGTCACATTTGCAAGGGCACAGCTGCGTTTTCTGCAATCTTTTTTAAAAACATGGACGCACAGAAATCACATGGTGCTTTGACACCACTTTCCTTAAAGCAACACACTTTTTGTGCGGCTGCGGGAACGTGTGCGATTTACACACACAGTCCCACACACGCACAGATGGGAACTTAGCCTTAGAGAGCAGGAGACATCCCTTTAAGTGCTTGGAGCCTGCAATCTGGAGATTACGGTGTCCAAGGCACAATTCCACATGTCTGAAATCTACTGTAAGTTTGTTTACAAAGTTATCCACCTGGCATTTGGCACTGTGCTCCCTCTGTGCACAGTGCAATCGGTTGAAGATACACAGTGTTATGCAGGCCATAGATGGGACGTTTATCGGCCGAATGTTCGTCCTTACAAAAAAATTGGCCGATATTCATGCCGTTAGTGGGGCAATATCGTCGGCCGATTTTTGCGGATCTTCTCATTTCTTTTTATCGATCATGCTGGAAAACCTGCGAAAAACAGCCGTTTTTTGTAAGCAGCAACGACCGATTTTTCGTTTATCGGCCGATAAACTTCTCGTCTTTGGCCTACATTATTATTACAGAAGAAAAGAATCGGGTGAAAGATTAAAACTTCTGTTAATAGTGCATATTTTCACATTTCTATCAATCTGTTAGGTTACTGTTTGCAAAAAAAAAAAGAGAAAAACCATTACTGGGGCATTTATTAAAACAGTGCACAGAATAGGAATCCATTTCTAGTTAATTGATGCATACAGGCAGCTCCCAATTATGGTCATACTAACTTTGGGCATCTAACCTTCAATTACTTATGGTCATGAAGAGGTAAAATGTGGTTTGTTTCCCCTTTGTGGCAGGGGGGGAAAAAAAAAAAAAAAAGAACCACCACCAACATTTCAAAAGAACAGACAAAATCTTAAATGCCCAGGATAATTGTCAGATATTGTTCTTGGGGCCCTTGCTGAACAATTCAAGAGTACAAAGTGCAGGCTTCTGCTTATTACATTTGAGGCATTTTTTCTTAGTTTTAGCATGCACAACTATAAAGCCACATTTACAGAATTAAAAAACACAGCCTTCCTAGAAAGCAACGAGACCATACCAGTTTCAAGTTTTTCTACAGCTGATAATGGCTTCTCATCAAGACCATTTATTGGCTTTTCAGCTTCATCAAGGGCAGCAAATTCATCAAAGCCTTTTGCCTTTGTCTGTAACCACCAGAAGAAAAAAAAAAAGAAAAAAAAAAAACTTGTGTAAGTAATGCAATGGCTAAGGCACATAACTACAGAAACGTATTATTGATAACTGTTACCTGCTGCTCATGGTAGGTTCGCAGAGCTTTTTTCACAGTAGAGATCTTTGGAGAACGGATTGGTAATGTCTTAATTTCAGAAGGTGTAAGCGTACTGAGGTCGCCAATTGTTTTTATATTTTTAGCACGGATGAACTGTACAAGTCCTCTGGCCCTATTAAAAAAAATTATATTATACATACAACACACATATACACACCACACAATACTCAAAAAAAAAAAAAAAAAAAAAATTAAAGGAACACTTTATAATCAGAGTATAGCACCAAGTCAGTTAAACTCCTGGGATATTGATCTGGTCCGTTAAGTAGCAGAGGGGGTTGTTAATAAGTTTCAGCTTCTTTGGTGTTAATGAAATTAACAACAGGTGCACTAATGAGACACCCCCAAAACAGAAATAGTTTTACAGGTGGAGGCCACTGACATTTTCCCTACTCATCTTTTTGACAGTTTTTCACTAGTCTTGCATTTGGCTTTTGTCTCAAGAGCATGGAGTACATTCCAGGAGACAGGCAGTTACTCAGAGCTGGACAGGGCCGTAGAAAGACCATAACCGATCAGTAGGACCGGTATCTGCTCATTTGTCCAAGCAGGAACAGGACTGAGCACTACCAGAGTCCTATAAAATGACCTCCAGCATGCCACTGGTATGAATGTCTCTGACCAAACAATCAGAAAGACTTCATGAGTGTGGCCTGAGGGCCAAACGTACTCTAGTGGGCCCTGTGTTCACTGCCCAGCACCATAGAGCTCGATTGGCATTTGCTATTGAACAACAGAATTGGCAGGTCCGCCACTGGTGCCCTGTGCTTTTTACAGATGAGAGCAGGTTCACCCCGAGCAGACATGAAAGGGTCTGGAGAACCTCGACTGCCATTAAGAATCAGGATGAAATCCTTGAACCCATTGTCAGACCCTACGCTGATGCAGTGGGTCCTGGGTTCCTCCTGGTGCACAATGCCCTGACTCATGAGAGTATGCAGGCAGTTCCTGGAGGATGAAGGAATTGATACCATTAAATGGCCCTCACGCTCACCTGACCTAAATGCAATAGAACACCTCTGGGATATCATGTTTCAGTCCATTTAAAACCGCCAGACTGCACCTCAGACTGTTCAGGAGCTCATTGATGCCCTGGTCCAGATCTGGGAGGAAATACCCCAGGACACCATCCGTCGTCTCATTAGGAGCATGTCCTGACGTTGCCAGGCATGCATACAAGTACGTGGGAGCCATACAAACTACTGAGGACCATTTTGAGTTGCTGCAATGAAATTTCAGCAAAATGAACTAGCCTGCTGCATCATTTTTTCACTTTGATTTGCGGAGTGTCTTTGAATTCAGTCCTCTGTAGGGTGATAATTTTCATTTACATCAAACAATGGGGCATCCTTATGTTTCTAACACATCACCCAGTCCATATAAGTATAGATAACCAGCATGGTATTCTTCCCCCCATTGAAATCTGATGTGTTTTCAAAGTGTTCCTTTAATTTTTTTGAGCAGTGTATATTTATGCAGTATATGTATTTGATACAAGATGACAAGCACTTCAGAATTCACGAAGCTATTTTCTCACCACATATTGGAGGTAATCTGTGGAAGAATGACATCAATGGATGTTGCACAGTTCATAAGGGCAGGGTAGACACTTTCTTTAGGAGATGGCATAGACTCTTTGGTCATTTCTGAAATCTAAAAAATGAGCAATTTTAAATTACATAAAAAGTGAAATCTTAACACCAAACTTCTAGGGAGGGACCCTCTCCAGGCCTGTTATGACGCAAATGATGATCTGGGCTTACCAAACTCTTCTTTGAACTCTTAAATCCAAGAACACGAGACCCAGGAGACACAAATCCTTTGGTTGGGGTGGTGATAATCTAGTGAATTGAAAGTATAGTTAAAAAGACCGGCTACTAAAAATGCAACCATACAAGATGCACATAAAAAGCATTGCAATATTACCTTTGGCTGAGTACTCGTTAGCATTTTAAGACTTCTTGAGGATGGTGAGCTACTTGAATTGCTTCTAATCACAGGGCTACGGCGATCAATGTCATCTGCCAATCCTTCTTGATATATTGGATCAGCAAATGATACTCTCCTAATCTGCTCACAGAAAAGAGAACTTGAATTTTTTTTAAGTTAAAAAAAAAAAAAGCAAAGAGTATAATATTGGCAACAAAGCAGCAACTTCAAGCAACTGACCCTTAACTGTAGCAACAATATAAGATATATTAAAAATATAGCATCAAAAGTAAACTAATTACCTTGGTGGTGCAGAAGGCACAATTGGTAAACACTACAATTTAACATACATTTAAACGTACTAACAATTCTAGGTTTAAAATGTTGACAAATTGCTTGATATGAAAAGTATACCAAGTCACCTTGTTAAGTGGAGAGGGGGAGTCCAATTCCTGCTGTTGTCTCTTTATCCCTTTCTTCAGAATGCTTGTTGAAGGTGATGCAGATGGAGACCAGCTGAAGCTTCCACTGGGGCTATCATTGGCTTGGGCCATAGAAATCAAGCCTTTTATTTTAGGAGGTGAATCTGTGTTGGACTGTCCTTCACCTAGATCTATCTGCATACTTTCAGATACTCTCGGAGCAGCACACTTCTCTGCAGCAGTTGTTAAATCTTCATCCATTTTAACCCCTTTAGTCAAGGTTACTTTTAGCGGCAAGGTGTCAGCAGATGGAAATATACAAGTTACTGCATTCTCCTCACAAGTCCTCTGAGCATTTTCTCGCTGAAGTTTAATGTTTCCATCATCTATGTTCAAAGTTTTCTCTTCAACTAAAGTCTCTGTAACCAGATCTACCCTTAATTTCTGACAGGCTCTGTTTTCTTCCCTCTCCCCAGGAGGGGATGTGCCAACCTCTGCTTCAGATTCATTGGGGGCAGCTGTGTCCAACTCAGCTTCGATCTCCTTAGGATAAGCTGTACCCCCCCTTGCTTCAGTCTCCTCAGCAGGATCTTTGCCTACCTCTGCTTCAGTCTCCTCAGCAGCAGCTTTGTCTATCTCTACTTCAGTCTCCCCAGGAGGAGATGTGTTGACCTCTGCATCAGTCTCCCCTGAAAAAGCGCTTTCCACCTGTTGTCCTGTTTCTTTCAAAACAGCTTTGTTCATCTCTTCCTCAGCCATCCCAACAAAAGATTCTTCTCTGGGCTCAGCCAGTTCAACAGAAGCTTCGCCAACATTTGCTTTAGTCTTCTCAGCAAGAGCTCCATCCTCCTCTGCTTCAGTTTCCATAGCAGTAGCTAGCGCAAGCTTCGCAGGTGCAATGTCTACTACTATTTCAGTATCTTTAGCAGGATCTTTGTCCACCTCTAAATTATTCACTTCAGCAAAATCCTGACTTGGTGTGGCAGAGTGGTCTCTCTCTTCAATTTCAGCCACATTATTACACTCATCTACTATAATCTGAGCATCTTCCAGCTCCTCCTCTGGTTTTGCACAAGTCTGGTCATTTGTAGATGTTTCAATGATCTCTACATCAAAGGTCTTGCAGATGTTTTCTTTTTCTGCCTCAACATTTTGTTTATTTTCTGCACATGGTTCTTTACTACTTTGCTTCTGAAAGCTCACATTGTCACCGTGTGTATATTTTTGAATTTCTGTCACTTCTGCAGTAGGCTCAGTTGAGGATTCCAAAGCTTCTATTGTTTTTGTCTGAACATAAATTTCTGTTACTTCTTCTGTGTTACTCTTACTAAATTGAACAACTGTTTGGTCAAGCTCTGACTCTGTGTCAGATTTAATTTCTGCGGCAAAGCCTTTGAAAAATGCTTGCTGTTTTGCTGTAACAAGTGGTGTGCTAACAGCACACGGCACAGAGAAAGTACAGTTGAACTGCATGTCAGATGATGCATTGATAGTCTTGTTTTTACTTTCTGACTCTTCAGATTTTAATTCCATGAAGGACTTTTCTTGTCTTCCTGAAGCCTCGCAACAGTCACAACCCTTGGACCTTCTGATTCTCCGACTTCTTTTATGAGGGCAGTCAGGCAACTTTGACGTGCTTTCAGAATTTCTAAATACATCAGAAAGTGCAGTGGAAAAGTCCCCAGCAGAAGGCTCAGTCATTAAGCTTTGCACCGTGCTGCAAAGTTTGGCAAGTTCACATGTGTTGTTGATTTCCATGGTAGAGCCTAACTCTGTATTTCTGCCATCCTCTAACTTTGGAATCTTTGTTGGCAATGCAGAGGTATCGGTCGAGATCGTGTAGGTTTCTCCATCTATTTCTGGCTGGGAATCCATGTCAGAGACCACATCAGAAGCGCACTCACCTTTATCTGGTTCCATATCAAAAGTAGCTGTATCATTCTGTGACTCCTGAGAGCTTTCCTCTTTTTCCTTCTTTTCAGATCCATCTGCCTTCTTAGGTCTACCTCGTTTTCGCTTGCCTGTTAGTTCACGAGGTTCTGAATTATCAGATTCTGAATTTTCGTTGGCAGCCTGAAGAGTCTGCAGAGACCTTCGTGTCTGATATCTAGATCTGCCTCTTGTCATCTTTTCGCTGGAGTTAGAGTCTGGAAGTTCCTCATCGTTATCAGTGTTCTTCAATGTTTTAACTTGTAAACTTTCCTGACTATTTCTGGAACTGTCAGTATCTTTTTCTACAGCTTTTGTAAGCTTTTCACTTTGTTGCTTAACGGGAGTTTCTTTAGATGGAGGAATCTTTTTTGAACCTATTTTTTGCTCTTCCTTGGTCTGGGATTGTTTTTCTGTTGCAGCCTCCTTTTTAACGGCTTCCATTATTTCCGATTGCCTCCTGGAAGAACGCCTCAACACAATTAGATTACCAGGTGCTTTCTGAGTCACTTGAGCATCTTCCTTTACGGTTGTGCTAGTCTCTGGTGGAGTGTTTTCTTTGAATTCTGTAATATTCTCCGGTGCTGAATTTTCCTTATCATGGTCCACAACATGTTCTTCCTGCTGAGGAAGCTGAGATTCTGGGACACACTCACTGTCTTCCATTTCTTCTGAAGGCCCTGTGTCCACTACACTTTCACATTTCAGACTAGGTTGTTCAGGTGCTTCAAGTTTCTGCTTTGTGTCTTCAACTTGACGCAGAGCTCTTGACCCTCTTCTGGATGCAGGTCTTGATTTATCATTTTGCGATTCGGTCTCTGCTGGTAATTTTTTTATTTTCTTTTTCCTTGCGCTTTTGTTTTGTATTCTTTACTTCTTGACTATCTGGCACCAAAATAACTTCCTTTGCTTTTGGAAATTTTGTTTCAGACAAAGGACTAAAAGAGCGATTCCCAGAGCTGTCAAACTTTTCTAAGGTGATAAAAGACTGTCGCCTGCTGACTGGTTGTGGCGGGGTTCCCAGCACCATATCCAAAGAACTATTGCTGATATTTGAGGAGTTTTGCACTTCTTTTGAAGTGTTTAACACAGCAGAGTCATTAAAAGATTTGGACTTTTCAACTTCATCTTCCAACATTACAATATCTGCAATTTCTTTGGCTTCATCTTCCTTTATTTCTTTTCCCTTTGGAGTATTCTCTTCCTGAAAAAACAAGAAAATATACTATTTAAATGGCAAAGCAGAATTATAGGCAAAACATTTTTTCATTTTGGATAGAGCAAAGGAAGGTTATAAAACACGGCAGATTTTTTTTTTTTTCGCCATCTGTATCCCAAGGAGATTTCCCTTCACTTCCCGTCCTATTGGCAAAAAGTGATAGGAAATGTCTGTAAACAGAATTCCTTGGGGACCCTCAGGTCACCAGAACTAGTGTCCCCATTGGAAGATTTCCTTGTGAATTTGGGATTTTCTTTTACTTTCACTAAAATTGGTAAACAGAACGAAGCAAAAGGGTGAATTTCCTTAACCGCCACCATATAGCAGATATACTGATCAGTGTGCTTACAGTGAACCACACACCCCTGCCCCCTAGTAAAACACTCCCTACACACAGTTAACCCTATGATCGCCCCTCACATTAACCCCTTCCTGCCCAGTGTCATTAGTACAGTGTCAGTGCTGTTTTTTTCAGCACTGATCACTGTATTGGTGTCACTGTTAGTTTCTCAATGCTAGTTTGGGCATAGAGACCCCAAATCTGTAACTTGGTCCTCCAGTTATTAAAGTGTATGTCTTGGGGAGACTTGGGCTTCCTTTCATGCCATCCATTGTATACAATTGTGTCTAGTTGTGAATGGTCACAGCAATCACAAGCACAAGCTGGGCCAATCACAGCCCAGCTGCGTCATGTGATTAGCCTTGGCCAAATCACAGCTAAATTACAAAAAAAAAAATGTAATTCAGGTAAATGCTTGCTTATAGCAAAGTAATTCTTTGCTATAAGCAAATTGTGTATTAAAAAAAAAACAAAAAAAAAAAACTGATCACTTCCCCAAAGTAATGCAAGTTACTATGGTAACATTATACTACTTTGGTCATAGTGCAATATGAAAAAAAACTTAAAAAAAAGAACAATTTTATAAAAAAATTGAAAAAAATAAAAATCAAACTTTTTTTTTCGTACTGTCACCGGTGTCCCTGATCACCGCCTTGCCAGTTATATGATTATGCTCTACTGCACTGGTGACAGTATGTAAAATAGTGAATCATTTTAATTCATTTTACGAGTAATGACAAAAAAAAATTACAACTTCAAAAAACTCGCCATGCCTCTTATGAAATAAGTTGGACTGTCTACTTTGCAAAATTGGGTCATTTGGGGGATATCTGTACTGTTCTGACATTTTTGGACCTCAAGAAATTAGATTGGCTGTCAGTACTTCAGGATTGATCAATATATTCAGATATATACCATAGTTTGTGAACTCTTTCCTACAGACTAAATAATAAACACTAATTTGGGTTATTTTCACTAAAGACATGTAGCAGAATACATGTTGGCCTAAATTTATGAAAAACATTTGCAAACTTTCATAACAGAAACAAAGAAAAACGTGGATGTTTTTTTTTTTAATTTTCGGGGTTTTTTTGTTAATTTAGAAAAAATTTAAACCCCAGCGGTGATTAAATACCACCAAAAGAAAGCTCTAGTTGTGTGAAGAAAATTATAAAAAATTTTAGTTTGGGTACAATGTTGTATGACTGTGCAATTGTCAAAGTGTGAGAGCGTTGAAACCTGAAAATTGGCCTGGGCAGAAAGGGGGCAAAAGTGCCCTGTATGGAAGTGGTTAAACATGTGTGCAAAAAACATGCAAAAAGAGCTCTGGCAGCTAAAGGGTTAAAGCTGTATTAAACCCAAAACCAAAAATGTAATATATTGCAGCTTACCAATCAGATGTGGTGGCTGCATTTTTTTTTTTTTTTTTTAAGGCTTATTTTCCCCCTGTTTTCACATGGCGATCTGCCCAGTAACACACCTCTTGTATTAAGGTGCCTCCACTCCAGATGGAGCATAGGGGCACCTTTGGACAGCAGCATTGATAGTCTGGGGGGGGGGGGGGTGGTTTTGAGTGTTAGGTGGACTGGCAGATTTAAATACATTAACAAATTGAAGCCAATCTCCAGCTAACACTTTAAGCTGTTGCAGCAAACTGTTTCTCCCCTTTTAAGATAAAGGTTTTACATAAACGCTGATCTTTCTGGCAGGAACTGCAGGTGAAAAAGAGAAAGAAAGCTTAATGCAGCCATCACGTTAGAACTGGCAAGCTGCAATATAATAAAAGTTTGCTTTTGGATTTAGTACCACTAACAAAAGAATGCTTTGTTACCTTGGATTGAACAGCATTTTCTGTAGTATCCACTCTAACTTCTGGCTTGTCCCTAATATAAAAGAAATTGTCAAAATTGGAGATAACAGTTTTAAGTGTAATTAATAGCATAAAGGAAAACTGTACTTACAATGAATTTTCCTGGCTCTGAGTATATTGTGTGAACAAAGTGGTGTCCTGTGATGCATCTAAATTGTTATACATGGTCGGTATGTCCACCCTGGTAAAAATGAAGGGAGGTTCAGGAAACATTGTTCAACAAGTTCACAAAAAAAAAAAAAAAAAAAAAAAAACTTCAGATCTATATCTGAATGGCATATTTCTATTAAATCCACTAGCCTGCCACGCTAATCTTTTTGAAAAAGTGCAAGAAAAGGGTTGCAGTCAGCAAAATCTTATTAATGGTAACAATCAGTAAAATATTTTATTTCAGGTACTTCTATAGCACCGTCAATTTATGCAGTGCTTTACATATACATTGTACATTCACATCACTCCGTAACCCTCAAGGGGCGCACAATCTAAGGTATTCTTTGAAAATGGTATTTAAAATCAACCTACATTAAAATCTAGATAAATTCCCACTTTAGCAAGGACTCATTTTTACATTTCTTTATAAGACAACAGAATGAACATAAAGTGGAGTGAAAAAAATTGGTACTTATCACAAGGGCAAGTCTTCAGAGCCAACCTGGGAAAAAAGGTAGCACTGGAACCTGGCTAGCTGTTGTGGTGCATTCACAGAATCTAGTCATGACATTGCAAAAAGGTCTCATGCAGTGCAATTACTAATCAGGTATGCCTCCGCAGTGACTGAGCCATGTGCAGTAGGGCTGACACCATGACATGCAAATTTTTAGTCGTGAAAACACCAGGCTCACTGGCAGACTAGAGGGATATCAGAAATCTGCCATACAGCTTCCAACAGCTGCTTGATTAACCACTTAAAGGACCACCTGCCCACAATGTACGGTGGCCCATACAGGCATGGCATGACCGCACAAATACCAGTTAAAGTAGCCACAGTGCTAAATCGCAAAAAATGGCCTTGTCATGGTGTAAAATCTTCTGGGGCTGAGGTGGTTAAAAGGAATCCAAGAAGTTCTGAGCCAACATAGCTGGAGAGAGATCCTATTGCCTTAGGACTCTAAGCAAAACTGGGCTGTAGAGGAGGTTCAGGGGTAACCACTTCAAGGAAGATGGCCCTTTTTTAGCTTTGTGTCTAATCCTCTTGGACTAGTGTAGGTCCCTATTATCACTTGTAGTGTATGCAGTGTACGCCTAAAATGACAACTACATGTAGCAAAAATTCAGGAAAGACATGTCAAAATGAAAGTACCCTGCTACTATTTATGTTCTGTGGTAAAAGTGTTGCTGAAGTCTGCTTACCAACAGTCACATATGTTTAAGCCCATACCCCACAAACCAACCTTTTTGTACGAAGGACTTCCTTCTGATGTTCTGTAAGAACTCTCTCTTTAGCTTCAGGAGGGATAAATACAAAGTCGACTGACTGCTCCTCTTCCAATATTTTCTTTTTGGTATTCGGAGAAGAAAACTCCAATTTCAACTATTAACATATATATATATATATATATATATATAGAAATCAACCTAAAACAGCGTCACAGGTGCATACAAAGCTTAGAGAAAAAATAAGTGCATGTTTAACACAATAACTACAGTCAGACTCTTCAAAAGTGAAGTTACAAGCCCAGTCTTGATGGGCTGGGGTCACTTACTAGACTAATTAGATCCCAGTCACAAGTACGTTTTCTAAAAGAAAATTGCAGGCATTTGCTGAAAATGCTAGTTGCCTGGCTGTTATCTTGACCCTCTGGCCTCTGAAATGTCTAAGCCACAATGCTAAAATAGGTATGCATATCAGGAAAGTCATATCTATACACTTGTTCTGGGTCAATGTCTCAAAGCACTGCAAGAAGTCAGTATGACAAATCAGGTATACTAACATTCGAAGAAAGCAAGATCTTTCATGTTTCTTCTACTTGAACGTTCATCTGCTGGCCACCACTAAATAATAATAATTTCTGGAGTGCACCCTTTGGAGCATGTAAATATGAGAAGCAACTTTTTTTGTTTTAATGAAAAAAAACACTTATTCTTATGCCCATGTATGTAATACAGCATCTTTTAAAGGCACTAAAAGAACAAATCTTAGCAAGCACAGCAGATAAACTTGGTTTAAAATTTTAATAATGGCAGAATATATATAATACTGTATACACATGCAGTTGTGGAGAGATAGTTGAGGCACGAAGCATCATGGCTTCACAAAGTAACGATTTTTAACCATTTGTTTCACCCTGAAGACAAACACGCTGAAACCTGTCAATGTGCTGTATCTATTCTGCAATTAATTCTGTTTCCTACTAGCCCTAAAGAATTATTTAAAGCTCGTTAGTGGTATGTGGGGAGAGTATCTTTTCGATCTTAAATTTCTTCCTAATCTGTCCGCAAAAGAGACCATAACCAATATAAATCCATGCATGCCTTACCTTGGCCTGTGGAATTTTTGTTGGAGTGCTTTTATTTTTACGCTCTTCTGCTCTGGCCAGTAACGAGTCTCTTTTCCCTGTGGACTTCACCTCAATACCGCTAACCTTTGTTCCCAACTGAGAGTTGTCCATCTATATAATAAAAAGCAGTAAATCTTACTCCATGGAATTTCAATTTAAAATCAGTGAATAGAAGGGTGCTGGGTACACTGGGTATTCGGTTACATGGCTGGTTTACATAAGGAAAAAACATTTAAAAAAGGCAGACCATGAATGGCAATGGTGATGAATACAAATATAAGACTCACGTTATCAGAATAGGGACCACTTGACTCCTCTGTTGTAGCAGTAAAGGTGAAGCCAGGTAACAGGAGGGGAGTTTTTTTTTTTAACTTGACTTAAAACGGGTCTAAAAAAAGGAAAAAAAAAAAAAAAGTTTCAATTTCATTAAATTTACTTTTGTATTTATATTGAATGGCAATGTTGGATTTGCAGAACTAAATATTTTAAAGACGTTCACATTTGGTACCATGTTACACCCGTAACGGACCACACAGCCAGGTCATTCATTCAGAATGCTGCCAGCATGACACACATACTTATAGTTTAAATGAGCTGTGAGCTTGCAGTTTCATTCTTCCTTTAGCTTTGTAACACAAAGCCCTTACAGGGATACGGACACAAAGCTTGAGGAAGACTGCAGGAACCTTACTTTCAAACCCATGATCTGCTGATTGCGGGGGCAATGCTCTGCAGGCTCCTGTAAAAATAAATGCAATTTTTTTTTTAACCTGCAAAATTAGGTATTTTACTTGTACTTAACCTTTAATTCAGTTTTCAGGGTTCCAAGTGCACCAGATGGGCTGGTTTTTAGACTTCCTGACGCTGCATAGATACTCTCCTCCTCTTGTATGAAGTGTGGACTCTCACTACAGAGAACTGTTACTATCAGATGTAAAATTGACTAATTTCTCTAAGCAATAAAGATTTATCTGCCTCACTGATAGTTCTTAGCATTGAATGCCAATGGGCTTTAAAAATAATAGCCACAACACCTAATGAATTATATCTTATAACTCTTCATTTATATCAGCACCACACATCTGCCACAGCAACAACTACATCCCTTTCCCTTGAAGCCAAGCCTCGCTCCTTACAGCAAAAAATGTTCTGCCTGGTCCAAGCAGCTACACCAACAGGCAACATCACACATTAGGAGAAAGCAAATGCAAAATGTAAGGCTAGGTTCACACCTATGCAGTTTGTGTTTGATCCATTTCTGCATTGCGTTTTTGATGCTATGTTTTTTTAATTACTTTTTTCTTGTTGCTAGGCAGATTTGAAACGCAAAACGCATAAAAAACGCACTACATGCTTTTCTGCAGCATTTCCATTGAAGTCTATAGAACCAGAAACACAACTTTTTGCTGGATGGATTCCAGGAAGTAAAAATACATGAATCATTTTTCCTTAAGACATTTGTGTAGTTATGCGCGGCAGAGCATTACAATTAACTTTAATGCATCACAAGGAGATGGACAATTACGCACCTGTCCTACCTTTTTTAGCTTGTTGGTGTGAAGTGAAACAGGACCAGGGGTGGACTGACCATTTGGTAACTCGGGCACTGCCTGAGGGTTCGGGGTCAGTAGGGGGCCCCATGAGATGCCCCTGGTACCTTTCATAGGCTTTTTTGGGTGTGGTTTGAGTGTGGTTGAGGACACAGGGGCCCCATGATCCCCTATTGCCCGGGGGCCCCATGAGTTGTCAGTCTGCCCCTGAACAGGACATAAGGCAAATTGCCTCGACTATGTGATGGGACTTCATTTGGCAACGTTGCCTAATGGAGCTGGTGGAACAAGCCCTTAAAATGCTTACTTGAGTTCATCTGGATAAACCAACGTGGCTGCCTTGGCAAACGACCCATTCCAAAATTGTGCTGCCTGAGTGCGGAACTGCTTGTTCTTGTGAAGAAATATGGCACAGAGCAAAGGTGAGAGCGCTTCAAGTAGATCGTCGTCATAGGATCCAGTGTATCGAGAGCCCAAACAGGAGAGCACCTCACCAAGAAGTTTATCCAACTAGGAAAGAAGATATCATTAACCACTTTAAGACCAAGCATTTTCTGGGATGTTTTGTTTACAAGTGTAAATTTGTATTTTTTGCTAGAAATTTACTTTGAACCCCCAAAATTTTTTTTTTAGCAAGGACCCTAGAGAATGATATGGCGATTGTTGCAATATTTTGTCACATGGTATTTGCGCAGCGGTTTTTCAAATGCAATTTGGTAAAAAATACACTTTGGCAACTTTTTTTCCCGCCTAAATTCACCAATTTTAAAAAAAAGGTTTTTAAATATGAAAGAGGATGTTACGACACGTCAATAGATACCTAACATGTCACACTTTAAAACTGCGCACGCTTGTGGAATGGCGACAAACTAAGTTATTTAAAAATCTCCATAGGCGATGATTTAAAGATTTTTACAGGTTACCTGTTTAGAGTTAGAGGAGGTATAGTGCTGGAATTATTGCTCTCATTCGAACGTTCATAGTGATACCTCCCATGTGTGCTGCAAACACAATTTACAGATGAGTGCGCGATTTACGTATGTGTTCGCGTGTGTGCGTGCGAGCATGGTGAGATGGGGGACGCCAAAAATAATTTTTTTCTTACTTTTATACTGTCCCTTTAACTTTTTTTTTTTTATCACTTTTATTCTTGTTGCAAGGAATGTAAACATCCACTGTTCTAGAAATATGCACAACAGGTCATCTTTAAGAAGAGATTTGGGGGTCAAAAAGACCCCAAACCTCCTCTTTACCTTTAAAAGATCAACAAAAAAAAGTTTAAAAAAAGAAAAAAAATTTGTTTACTTCTGCTGACAACCAGATGTGACATGACGTTGTGCCATTGCTCCATCATGATAAAAGCGATCAATGAGGCATCGTCGCCATCTTGAGGAGGCCACACTGTCAGATCGCTCCTCGGGCTGGCTGGCATTTAACAGTAAGCCTGAGAAATACCACGAGCAGCGGGGGTGGGGGTCGTCTCCTTCTGCCGCTACGGAAAGTTATCCATTGGCTTAAGAGCAGCTAGGACCGCTTTCATGTGAAAGCTGGCTGTCTGCTGAACAAAATTGTACCAAGGTTATGGCTGATTTCTTCCGCCATTACCCCAGTAAACCACTTGAAAACCGGAAATTTCTAGACACATTGCGGTTGTCAAGGGGTTAAGTACACCGATATCATTAAGTACACTGAAGACAATACACACTGGTGCTTTTTATAAGGTCATGAATGACAAACATCTAGTCCAACAGATAGAAATAATAGGACGTCACCTTACTGCCAAGAGAACTGTACACTTTTGGAGAGTCAGACCTATTAGAGAGAAAAAAAAAAACAGATACAAATTTAGTTTGAGAATAAAACCTATGGAAAAGAATATGTTGACAAATGAATACTTTTAACAAAAAAATATTTCAACAGATCCTGAGCTGTGGCTCATTGTTTTTACTTTATTTTGATAATTTGCAAATGAATTATGGTTATCTATTAGTACCGTGTACCCACATATTTCCAGTCAATCATAAGGCAACATCTCCTCTTTCACAGGGGTTGGACAAAATTACAGAAACACCAGGTAAAAGAATGAAATGGTTACCCAATATGGTGTTGGGCAGCCTTTGGCATCTAAGACTACCTGAATTCTCCTGGGAATTGACAAATACAGTCTTGGATGGTGGATAATGGAATCGGATACCACTCTTCATGCAAAAATCGTTCAGTTTTTGCAGATACCAGGAGGTGGAAAACAAGCCCGAACCGTCTCAAAAATTGACCATAGTGACTCTAATATGGAGGTTGGGCGACTGTGGCGCCCAGAGAAGGTGCAAGACTTTGTCTGCATGCTTGTCAAACCACAATTTGACAACACCAGCTGGTGAATCTGAGCATTATCGTCTTGCACCATGGGGTGCCCATGGTCAGCCAAAATTTGTACATAGTCACTGGCAGTGATTCTACTTTTCAAGGTAATGATGGGGCCTGCAGAATGCCAAGACCAAAATATGGCTGCTCAAACCATGATACTTTACTGCTGGCACAAGACAGTCTTCCAGTGATCAACAGTCCACGATTTGTGGGTGTTGCACCACTCTCTTCTTCTGAGTATTAAGATCGGTCACTAGTAGTTTGGCAATTGCATCTCACCCGTGAATTTGCTGCTTATGGAGTTATCTTTGCACATTTTTTTGAGGACACGAGCTTTGGAAGACTAAGATTGAGCTCTGCAGTCACTTTTGCAGCAGTTTTCTTATTCCGGGTCACAGTCCTGCATAATGTCCTCTTGCCTCTTTGGTCAGTTTACCATGTTGACTGCTCTTGTGCTTATCAGATGGTTTCCTGGAAACTGTATATGCCGTCATAACCTTTGACACGGCAAATTGACATCTTCAGTCACAGAGGCACCAGCTAAGTGGGCACAAACTAACAACTCTGACATGACTCCGTATTACTAGCAGCGTTAACCGTGAATGATGAAAATGAGGCTTCCCACCTGTTAGCTAGGTGTGTCTCATCACAGAGGAAGCAAAAATAAATAAATATTACATCACTTCCACTATCAATACAAAACATGTCACTTTCAGACCGGCAAATCATGCAGTGTTTCCATATTATTGTCCAACCCCTGTGCATTATCCATTCTGATTCAACCGAGACTTTGCTTGTTATCCATACGGTTATACAGTATGAGTATTGTACAAAGTATTGTATAATTGTGAAAATCTTTAATAAAAATTGTTACTTATTTTGATCATTGGCACAAATATTGAAGGTCGACAGCTAACTGGACTGATGCTGATTGGGCACCAATTCACAAAAAAGAACATTGAACTGGAGAAAATACAGAGAAGGGCAACTAAACTGATAAGAGACATGGAGGAGATCAGCTATGAGGAAAGATTAGAGGAACAGAATTTATTGTCTCTTCAGAAGAGATTAAGGGGGGATATGATCACCATGTATAAATACATTAGTGGTTCATATAGTGAACTCGGTGTAGAGTTATTCACCCTGAGGTCATCACAGAGGACAAGGGGGCACTCTTTACGTCTGGAGGAAAAGAAATTTAATCTCCAAACACGGAAAGGTTTCTTCACAGTGAGAGCTGTGAAAATGTGGAATAGACTCCCTCAAGAGTTGGTTCTGGCCAGCTCTGTGGTTTGCTTCAAAAAAGGCCTGGATTCTTTCCTAGATACACAGAATATAACTGGATACTAACATTTATAGGTAAAGTTGATCCAGGGAATATCCAATTGCCTCTCAGGGGATCAGGAAGGACGTTTTTTGGCCTTCCTCTGGATTAACTTTGGGTGTAGGATTATAACTTTTTTTTTTTTTTTTAATGGTTGAACTGGATGGACTTTTGTCTTTTTTCAGCCGGGTTATGTAACTATGTAACCTACATGACAGAGCCAAATGCTTTCCAACAACCCAGCCTTCAAATGGACTACCAGAGAATAAAAGAAAACAGTAAAGTTATATCGACCTGAGGTCAATAATTTAGCATAGCCAAGACTACAGCTGACAAATATCTGTTTAAATCCTGAGGGGGGGAGACCTTGCCTTTGGAAGATATATGTAGAAATGAAATGCCCGGCTGGGTCCATCCAAACAGGAAGCTTTGTGGAAAACCAGCTTTTCTTCTACACCAGACTCAGAATAAATGGTCATCTGAGTCTATCAAAATGCAAAGCTATTGGGGGTCAGCGGAAGCAAAAATTATTTAGTGTCAACAGCAAACGTTTCTGATCACAAGACATTTTTCTGTAATCTCTTGCAGCTAAATTTTAATCACTTTAAGACCAAGCATTTTCTGGGATGTTTTGTTTACAAGTTTAAATTGGTATTTTTTGCTAAAAAAAATTCCTTAGAATCCCCAAACTTTGTTTTTAATCAAAGACTGAGAATGACATTGGGATCATTGCAATTTTTAGTCACATGGTAATTGCGCAGCGTTTTTTCAAATGTAATTTTTTGGGAAAATACACACTTTAGTGAATGTTAAAACAAACAAAAAAAACCCCACAAACACGAGTAACCCCAACTTTTTTTTAAAATATGAATTACGGCAATAGATACCCAACATGTCATGCTTTTAAATTGCGTACGCTTGTGGTTTGGCGACAAACTACGGTACTTAATCTCCAAAGGAAACACATTAAACATTTTTAAAGGTTACCTGTTTAGCGTTAGAGGAGGTGTAAGTGCTAGAAATATTGCTCTCGCTCTAACATTCGCAGAGATTCCTCTCATGTGTGCTGTGAATACTGTTTACATATGCATGCACAATTTATGTATGCGTTCGCTTCTGTGCACGAGCACGGTGGGATGCTAAACATTTTTTTTTTTACACTGTCCCTTTAATTTTTTTTTTTGATCACTTTTATTTCTATTACAAGGAATGTAATCATCCTTGGTAATAGACATATGCATGACAGGTCACCTTTAAGAAGAGATTTGGGGTCAAAAAAACCCCAAACCACTTCTTTACAAACTTTTTTTTGTGATCTTTGTCTTTTAAAAAGGTAAACATTACAGTTCTCTCCAGTCAGCTCCTACACACTGCTCTGCACGGCATGCAAAGCAGTGTGTTTACAGTGAAGCACTAACACAGGACACAATGTAAAATGACACACAGCTAACCCTTTGATCGCCCCTCATGTTAACCCCCTTTCTCCCCAGTGCCATTAGTACAGGGTCAGTGCTTTTTATTAGCACAAATCACTGTATTGGTGTCACTATAGATGTCAGTGACACCAAGTCAGTTCCCCCCCAGTGTCAGAACGCCTGCCGCAATCCCACTATAAGTCGCTGATAGCGGCCATTGCTAGTAAAAAATAAAAATCCCAGTATATATACCGCCTTTTCTAAACCCTACAACTTTCATGCAAACCAATTAATTTACACGTATTGGGATTTTTTTTTTTTTTTTTTTTTAGCAAAGACATGTAGCAGAATATATTTTGGCCTAAATTTGACGAAATTTGATTTTTTTACTAGACATGTTTAATAGCAAAAAGTCAAAATCATTTTTTTCCCTCAAAATTATTTTTGTTTTTTTAATGGTACAAAGAAAAAAAAACAAAATGCACAGGTGATCAAATACCACAGAAAGAAAGCTCTATTCGAGGGAAAAAAAAGACATAAGTTTCATTTGGGTGCAGTGTTGCAAGACCGCGCAATTGTCAGTTAAATTAATGCAGCGCCCTAACGCAAAAAATGGCCTGGTCAGAAAGGTGGGGTAAATCCTCTGGAGGGCAAGTGGTTAATAAAAAAAAAAGAAAAAAATGCATTTCTACTGTCGACTGGATGTGACTTCATGACGTCACTCCGGTCCTCCATCATGATTGGGGCGATCAAAGACCATAGAGTCTTTCATCGCCATCTTGAGGCTGCACTGTCAGATTGTTTCTCGGGCTGGCCGGCGGCGTTTAACAGTAAGCCCGAGAAACACTGGAAGCAGCGGGGGTAGGGGACAACCCCTTCAGCCACTATGTAACGTGTTCCAGTGGCTTAAGATCCGCTAGGACTGCTTTTATGTGAAAGCCGGCTGTCTGCTGAACAAACAGTATCGGGGTTATGGCTGATTTCCCCAGTGAACCACATGAAAATCGAAATGTTTATATATGGATTGCAGGCGTCAAGTGATTAAAGAACAGAACACATATCAATATTAACAGATTTCGTAAACAAAAAAAAAGAAAAAAAAACACCACAACACTTTTCCACTCACTTGGTCTTTGTGTAGAACACAGCAATAGGCTTTGTCAGCAGTGAAAATACTGTCCTAAGTATGGAAGGTAAACTGACATGACTGATGCAGGAAGACAATGTACTCAGAATAGAAGATCCCATGGAAGACAATATTGAAGCATTTGCCTCAATCTGGAACTGATCAGAACACATGAAGTGAAATTCTTCAGTCACTCTCACAAGTAGCTTCATTAAAGAATTTAGATTTCCCAGAGGACCTTTCTTCTTCTTTGCCCAATCAGTTGGAGTGTGAGGAGCTGAAATTAGACAAGATTAACATTTTATAGGACTGCTATTTCTGTACTCTGTTCTAGAAACATTAACCCGGAGAACACAAGCAACAAAACGCACTTCAGTAGCCCTTTACCCTCTTATGAAGGCCACAGCATGAAGTTGGTTCTCACCTTTTGTTTTGGGTTGGAATTTTGTGCTATATGGGGAGAAGTTCACAGAATCCACCATAACTGTAACAACTTGAACAATCCTTTCCAGCAGGGAGAAAACCTAAGAATGAGAGATGGCTGATCAGTGTTATCAATGATGTACTAATTAAACCCTAATACACAAATTTAAACACACACACACACACACACACACACACACACACACACACACACACACACACACACGTCTACAAATAGTAGTTCTCCTATATTACACTAAAATATGGTGGATCGTCAATAAAAATAGAAAAGATAAATAGATAGGCTTACCACTGGCTGATCCCCAAGTGCTGTAAGTATCCGAGAGCAGAGCTCCTCACAGCACACATTCTCATCAGTTGTAGTAACTAATGAAGCACAGCGGGCAAATGTTTTATACAATTCAGACCAAGTGCGCATCAATGTCTTCACAGTGGGCTGCAACATCAAACAGGTCATATTACTTTGTGTAATATGTCAAGTGTACTAGCTGATGAATTCACTTAATACCAAAAGTATAGTACCACTTACCTGTGGAAAGGTGGAGACTGGGAAGATGTGATTTATAGGTAGCATTAAAGCACTGTGCATGGCACTAAAGTTGTGTTCTAAGGCATCACCTTGGTTTACTTCATTAGTCTGAAGCAAAAAATAAAATGCACAATTATTAATGTAACCAGCACACACTTGAACTGGATTTGCTAGGAGAATCAGGACCATATTTAAATTTTTGTATATTTATTGACATATTTGGGCAGCACAGTGACTAAATGGTTAGCACATCCATCTGGTATTAGGGTTGTTGGTTCAAATCCCAACCACAGCACTACCTGCCTGGAGTTTGCATGCTCTCCCTGTGCCTGCGTGGGTTTCCTCCGGGAACTCCGGTTTCCTTCCACCACTCCAAAGGGTTTCCTCCGGGAACTCCGGTTTCCTTCCACACTCCAAAGACATGCTGATAGGTTAATTGCATTCTGTCTAAATTGTCCCTAGTATGTATGAAGGTAAGTTGGGGACCTTAGATTGTACGCACCTTGAGGGTTAGGGACTCATGTGAATGTTTCTATATATGTATGTAAAAGTGATGCATAAACTGACAAGCGCTATACAAGTACAATTATTTATAAATATTTGAAAACGGATTACCAAAAAAACACCTTGCCTATGTTAACACTCGTGGGAGACCCATAAGGGGTTAAGTTTATATTTATCTTAAATTGATTTCTAAATTACCTACTCAGCGAACAACATTGGAGGCTTCCCAACTGTCACTGTACTATGCTCCCGAAATACTTCCAGCAAACAAACTTCTTCCTCCCCCATAAGGAACCAAAGCACCTGTAGAAATATTTATAACTTCTCTATCTACACTGCAACCTGTCTGATTGCTTTTGGCACCAAAGTAGAGGTGAAAGCATATCCCTGTGTCCGAGAACATGGGGTGCAGGCTTGTCCTAATACCAATATGTTGGCTAGTAAATGTAAAGAGTAAAGGATCAGCCCACATGTCTCCACCAAACCACATCCCTGGGCTTACTCATAGGATCACTACACGGTGGGAGGGGAAAAATGCATCAGGTTGTGTGATTTGGTGGAGACAGGTAGGCTGATATTTATCATTTACTGACCTGGGCTGGTCAGGAGCAGCAGCGATCCTTTCCTCTTTAGCTACCCTTGCAGACAGCCACAGATAGATGGCTAAGCATTCCCAGTTTTACTATCTAGCTGCACAATTGATACCCCCATACAAGATTGTCTTAGGCCAACTTTATCTTACAGTTACAGAGACAGCAAATTCAGAATCCCTACATAATTCTGTATATGGTAGCCTGTGAGGCACTCTCCTGAATAAAACTACTCAGATTATAAAAACCATTTGGAATAGATTGGTCAACTTCCTTTAACAATCTGATTTGGCACAAGCCATACTTGAGTTTTTTTTCAGTCCTTGTGCAAGGGTTGTTACAGAAAACCTTCCCATTATGTTATGTAGATGAAGGGAATGCAAGCTCAAACAGGAAGCTAGGAGCACACTAGATTTGGCAGACTGGTAATTTTCTATATTTGCAGCAGTTCTAAAAGGTATAAAACATGAGGGAAAGCTCGTATTGTAGATACGTATTTAATGTGTTATTTTATTTTGCTTAATAAAACGAATAAAAGGTCTATAAAAAAAAAAAAAAAAAAAAAAAAAAGGCATATGCTCCAGCTTATATGCATTCTGTCCATCCCTTCAAAAAAAAGCAGTAATGGTCTGTCTGCAAACAGAAGCCAATACTGCTTTGTACCAAGTCATCTACCTGTGCTATATTTATTTCAATCATTGCTTGCGTTTAAAGATTTAGCGTTTAGCCTGTTGCAGACCCTTTAAAAAAAAAAGGACACGGCCCCAAAGCTTCAATCAGTTGAATACCAGGTGAGCCAGTTGAAGTAATCCAACCTCAATGCCAGGGAGCTATTATCCCGTAGTTTCATACACTAGACATTTAAAGCAGACTTCTACCAATCTTACATCCAGTCAGCCTGAACACAAAAAGTATGATGTACAGACAGGCAACAATACAACTAGATAAAACAAAACATCCACTTTAGCCAAAGTAGCAAAAGTGATAGACATGAGCATAATCCAGAAATATTGTATGCATTTTACCTTAACCCCAATACCAAAATAAACTGTAAAGTTTGAGTATACTATTAGATTTTACCTGATTAACTTTTTCAGTCAGTGGATTAATCAGAATACTCCACAGGCGCCAAAGCAATTCTTTGTTTTCTAGCAACTTGGCACCTTGATTCAGTTCGCTAAGGACAGACTCGCTAAACGCCAAAGGTGAGGTTGGACCAGAGAAGACGTAACTTACAAGTGTTTCAAAGTTTATAAAGAATCTGTTATGTTTGTAGGGAAAATAAAACACACAGAAGAAATTACCAATTAAACATTCACATAACTGTAAATTGCAATATATGGTTTCCATTAATAAAATGTTATGCACAAGAGACTACAAATAATTACTTTTCCTCAGTAATGCCATGTTCCAGAATTCCAGCATGAAAGTGAAGTTGTATTAGAAAGAGAGCTGGAGTCCCCTAGGTAAACAAAAAGATCCTGAATAAGACAGATGAGATGTCATGCATGAAGTTAACAGGTCAACAAGCTTAAATAAAGGAATGCAAACAGGAGCCACACAGCACCCTTTTTAAAGACCAATACATCTAAAATATAGGTGTGTCTCTCTAGCCATCTCGCTCTCTATACACACACACCAATGTGTGAGTTAAACATTGTATAGAATGGTAGGAAAGCTACAGAATGACAAAAACAAGAGGTCAAAGTATGAAACTTAATTGTTCACACTTTTCTTAGGCATTCTATACAATGCCAAAAGGCTAACCTGCTAAGTAAAAATACTATTCCTCCTTGCTGTTTGTAAGTCCTGCACTTTATTTAAAAAAAAGACATATGAAAATGAGAAGAAATATAAAATAAAGGTTTTTCATGGCTCTCTTTTCATACTTGGCATAAACAGTACTTTTTCTTTATAATGTCTAGGTATTCAATAAAATGCCAGGGAAAGCATATAGCATATTAAAAGAACAGACATTTCATGCTTTACCTAAAAATGTCAAATTCTATACAATGCCTGCTTTTTACACATTGCTTGTAATACACACATACCTTTATTTCTATAACTATCACAGGTCTCTTAAATAAAATTTATCTGTTTTAACTGGCCTAATCTCAAAAGGAAATTGGATCAAAAACAATTGCCTGACTGCCTGTGAGAAGGGAGAACAAATAAAGTCTCAAAGCTAAAGCCCAACAAACAAGTTGTCACAGCTGTTCAATAAGTTGATTTTACCAGAAATGTTATCGGATAATTTTCCTGTACAGATTGGTTAACATTTTTCTGCAGGATCCTTCTCTCTATGCCATAGAAGTAAGGAGACGGGGGAGGTGTTTGTAGTCCCGTCCTAAAGCGATAATGATGCTCCTCCATAGATACATTGGAGTGAGTAAACTGTCACTCTAGGACAAGAGTTAATCTAGACGTGTGTTAATGGCAGAATCACCGGGGGGGGGGGGGGGGTTAGATGTACTTTTAATAGACATAAAAACTCCCGTGTCACTTGCAGCAGGATAAAAGCACCTGTCAAAACTCCAAATGCTCTCCAAAGGATCTCAAATGTATGTAATCGACAAGTTGAAAGCCTGTTGACAGATACCCACAGAGTAACTATCTTCTAAAAATGAATAAAGCTTCACTGTTAACAGATCAAGATTTAGCCTGCAAGGTAGAAGCAGGGCAGTCAGTCTCCAAACGTTAGGCAGTATGCAAACCACAGAAGTCACCATAGACTTGAAAGGCTTCAACTCCTCCTGACTCGACATGAGGAGTCAATTTTGATGCACTGCTGACGCTTCAGTGTGAACAGCACTGTGTGCTGCCATGTGTATCATTTTCATAGGCGTTTGAGGAGTGTTAAAAAATACCCCTTCAACACTAGTGTGAACTGAGCCTTACTTTTTCCTTTAAAGAGTCAACTATAAAAGGTGACCAGAGTCACCGAAAAACAAACATTTCACAAATATCTGCCATCAAAGATAAAACTTTCCCCTACTCTGACACCTTTAACCCATTACAGATATTCTGCCTATGGGGGCAAGATTGCTGAAAATATGACCTAACCCTAATAAAAAAAAAAAAAATAAAAAAAATAAACACCACACACAATCATAACATAGCATTTTAGATTTAGAGGTCTTTAAGCAAAAGTGCAAAAAAATTAATGCCAGCACCTCAGTGCTGACGTGGCAAACATCTTATTCTAAGTCTTACATTAAGAAGATCCATATTTGCCACCTGATATGCTGCAGATCCCAGTACTTTTTGAGGTAGTCCTTTCACGGTGCACTCCAGAAGGCTCTAAAGAAAGAAAATCCCCATCAAAATGCAAACATTCCCGTTAACATAAATATCCATATACTGTACTCAACCATTGCCATGTACTTACCAAGCACTTTTCCACCTGAAGAGAATCTGAAGTGATTATGTTTTTCAAAGTTTGCAGCAAGCAGGTCAACACCTCGGAGCCTTGCCGTTCTTTTTTACTACCTAAAAATAGTGTATGGTTGGATTCAAACTGTTGTGTTAACTGCACACATGCAAACTGGTGATCAAATAGGGCACTCAAAGTAAACTAAAAACTATTACAATTTTCCCCCAACTCAACAAAAATAAGCGTGAATTTTTTTTTTTTTTATTTAAAGGCTAGGTTTACACTTGAGCGGGTTTGCATCCTGTGTTTGCGTGGGCACGGTAGTCCTTTCATTTGAACGGGCTTCTGTGCCAGCATTTTCTGCAAAAAAAAGGATGCCTTCATTTTAAAAATGCAGCCACAGGGAAATCGCATGGTGCTTTTTTTCCCCAGCGGTTCTCTCTCACCCACAAACACACTGTGGGTTTAGATGCATGGGGGTGTCATTGACGACAAATGGCAGCCCCACATGCCTCTACAGAGCAGCGCGATTTGGCTGCAGGGGATTTAGGGGACAGCTGCGATTCTCGCACCAGCCTGCTCAAGTGCGAACCTAGGGTAAATCTGTACAAGGGTTTTTAATGCCATCTCTTCCTCCCACTTCCACCCCTCAACACTTCAAGTAATGGTGCACCAAAATGAAAATTCTGGTGCCAAAACTGAATTCAAAATGCACTTGGCCAAATCCCAAAACGCGCAGTTTTTGAAAATACATTTTTTGGAAAAAAATACTTTGATTTAAAAAAACAATATATACTACATTTTTTTTGTAAAATATGAAAGAAGATGTTACGGCAAGTAATAGATACCAAACATGTCACGCTTTCAAATTGTGCACGCTCATGGAATGGCGTGAAACTGCGGTACTTAATCTCCATGGGTTACGCTTTAAAAAATTTCTACAGGTTAGCAGTGTCAAGTTACAGAGGAGGTCTAGAGTGAGAATTATTGCTCTTGCTCGGACGTTCGTGGCGATACCTCGCATGTGTGGTTTGAACACCATTTACATATGTGGGCATGGCCTACGTATTCGTTCACCACTATGTGCGAGCACGGGGAGACCTTAAGCTTATTTTTTTTAAACATTTTATTGCAGTGTTCCTTTAAAAAAATGTTTCTTTTTATTCTTCTCACAAGAAATGCATGCATCCCTTGTGATAAAAATAATTAGTGACAGGTCCTCTTTATGGAGAGATATGGTGTCAATCTCTGCAATAGACAGCATTGTATCAAAAAAAAAAAAAAAAAAAAAAAACGGGAAGTGACATTGCTCCGTTTCTCCAAGGGCATAGAGATGTGTGGCGGCCATCTTTCCTTAACTCATCTCTATGCCCAGCGCCGTAATCGATGGTTTCTCAGGCAAGACTGAGCTACTGGGCAGGTGTGAAAGGCAAGGTTTTTTCCCCCAATTTTGGCCAACAGCTGAAACGGGTGTTTTCGGCCAAAATTTCAGAGCATCCCTAATTTAAGTAAGGTTTTCTTCTTCTACAAGACCACCATTGGCAGAACCCTGGAGAAAGGTATCTCAACCCTTCAATTCCTCTCAATTTATCCATACAAGAAGATAGTCTGGATTACAGGTAAGAGAACTCCTTAAACCCTCTAACAATGAAGGATCTCACCTCTTCAATAAAACATTTTGACTGGAAGAACCACAAACTCCTATAATTGTTGCACAATTAATTTACCTGTCTCCATAGCTGCCTTTACAAACTCTATCATGTCTTTCCACACAGCATAAAGTACAGCACCTAGGAAAAAAAATGTCAGAATACAAAAAAGGTCATATTTTGATTAGTGTGCGCCCCCCCCCAAAGCATTAACAAAGCTTACCTGAAGCATCCTTTCCAATGGTAATAAATCCATCTTGGACAGCATTCAGCAAAGTGCTGGCATGTTTACTGAAGAAAGAGGAACTGCCTATCAATGGATGCTGGAGAGGCTCTGCAGAACAGTATAACAGTGTTGACTTCAAGAGTATTAACACTTAATACAGTATTAATATGCAACAGAGGGAATTCTAACATACCTAAACTGAGCACAAGCTTGTGTTTATTGGCAAACTGCACAACTTCTGGACCCAAAAGGAAATGAAGCATCATCTCTATACCGAGAAGATGAACAGATGGAAATGCGACAGAAGCCAAGAGACTGGAGTTCAAGTTCATTTTTGGAGTAATTGGAGTGACTGGAGTGCCAAACGACACATTTCCTGAAAGCCAAAAAGTATAATTGCACTAGTTAATCCTTCATGATTAAGCACATTGCTGAAACATGTCATGGGGTTGGGACCATTTGAGGAAGCTTGTTGGCAGATTAAAATTACACCTGTGAAGACACTGGTGTGTGACTTTCCATTTATACTAAGCTACATGTGGAGGAGTGAGACTCCAAAGCCAGCCCCTGAGGGGAGTAGAGGGTTGTGCTATCCTGCACTTTTCTTTGATTCAATGCATTAGTCGGCTATGGCTATTTTGAAAAGTTTCAGTCTCTAATCTTAACTTATAAAAGGCAATCTCAAACTTTTTTTGTGACTTAAGCTCCAACATTCCTATTAGCCAAGGGTACACAGGCTGGACAAATTATGCTTAAAGTAAACCTGCAGTGACAGAAATATAGATTTTTCTACTGAACTTTTTGTTCCAAAGGTGTAAACCCCAGCACAATTAACTAGTGAGACCAGGATGACTATCTGGAATAAGTATGCAAGAGTTCAGTCAAGTCAGACTTCAGTATCTGCATGTTTTCTTTAAGTCAATGACCCTCCTGTAAAGAAATTTATTGTGATGCCAACCTTGAGACTGTACAGCAATGGAAACTATAATTTCTGTCCTCACTTTAATCTTTGTAGTCTTAGACTGGTATACATTTTGCTCTCCAAGATGCATAGTCAGACATGCACCACCACACTACATTTGTGAATATACATTATATGGCCAAATGTTTGTGGACACATGACCATCATACCTGTATGAGCTTGCTGGATATCCCATTTCAAAACCCTGGACAGTAATATGGAGTTGCCCCCTCCTCTGATTTAGAAGTGTGTCTGCTGATGCCCCCAGATAGAGTTAAGTAATGGTTTCTAATTTCCCAGCTATAGGGCTCAGTACATGACCTTAGTAGTGCTCAGTTTTGAGCAATTCCAGGTCTATTCTCTGCAGAAGGTGGATGAAACTGAGGCCACCAGGTCCTTTCACCTCCTAAAAGAAGTCTCTAGTCCGTCAATGCACCATGTGGAAATTGTCACCTCACAGAAATGCTTGGATGGTATTTGTGACCAGAAAAACAAAAAAACCAAAGAGTGGCTTGGAAATCATGATCAAATTGTAATTCAGCATCACACTATACCTTTCTGTATGGGTGTAGAGGCAACCGGGTTAGCTGAACGCAGTTGATGTGCCTGGGGAGAAGCTGCATCTATCTACACATAAAGCACTTTGAATCAAAGGTAAACAAACCTGCAGACAAACAAACAGCTTTCAGTATTTGTCACTGATACTATTAACTCAAGGTACTTCTTTTCAAATGGCATACGGAAAATCACACAGGATCAACTTTTTAAAAATGTAAAATAAAGCTACAAACCCAAGCAGGAGAATACAGTAATACCTGTTCAAAGTGAATTGGCAGCTGAGATCCAAGACGCATCAAGAGATACCACCATACTTCTACTTTAGTCAGAGCCAGAGCTTCTGTTCTAACATGGATAGAGCTCAACGGCTGCATTAGAAGTTTTAGTCTCTTTGAACTGCACAAAATGTCTGTGGATACAAAGGGCCATTGTTTGTTAAGGGATATGTAGTTTTTGGTGTGCCTTTTGCATATACATGCATATTTAATATATACACCACAACCTAAACTGTAACTTAAAGGTCAGTACTATGAAAAAATAGTCAGCCTAAATTCATAAATAAACCACAAACTAAAGTGCAGCCCACTTAGTACTGAACACAGAACTAAGCACTTGCTTAATGCTTGCAACAAAAACTTTACATTCAAGACCTGCAAGATTTACATTGTGCTAAAGTACATGTCTGAACAGTTTATGGGTAATTTGAACAGACATCCTAAAAGATAAAAAGGAGCAAAGCAAAACTAAAAAACACACCAACACTACATATCTAGTTAAAAGTACACATTAACAACTGAAACATCTCAAGAATATTTAGATATACAATAAAATGTACCTGGATTTAATGCAAAGTTATCAATGAGACTTTTCCAGGCAATAAATGCAATCTTCTTGATTGCAGGGGATCCATTTCGAAAACCTAATTCTTCAAGTTGCAGCAAAGAATTAATAAAGCTGCCACTGCGATGTAACGTCTGGAAAAGCATCAAATTATTTATGAGAAAACAGGCAAGGACCCGCAAAATCATAATCTTATGGATACGGTTAGGTTACCTTCCCAAGCAGCTTGACGAACAAAGGCCACAATTTCAAAACATAGGTCTCGTTCTTGCTAGTAAACAGCTTGTTGAGTTCTCCAATAATTTTCTAAGAGCAGAGAAAAGAACGATTTTAAAATTCCTACTGGAGTTAATGATATGTAATCAAAATTGAAAATGGCCTGTAAACAAAATTACCTTGAAAGTGGTCACAAGTTCAAAATAGTAAATTTAATGCACATTACAAAGCAGGCACCTACAACCTGCTTTAACCACTTGCCAACCATGCTACAGCGCGGTTGTCCAGTCCTAGGAGGGCGTCATAGGACGTCCTTCCAGAACGCGCCCTACCACGCGCTCCCGGCCATCTCCGCGATCACTGTGTCTTACAGACACAGCTGATCACGTGATGTGGTAAAAGGCCAATCACAGTGGCCTTTTACCACGTGATCAGCTGTGTCCAATGACACAACTGAAACCATTCAGGCTGCATTCACGCTTGAGCGTTATGTAGCTCGAAGCTCAAAGCTCCAAAAATGCTCAAATTTACAAAATCCATTGTTCTCTATTATGCCTGTTCATGTGATCAGGTGTGAACAGGCACCATAGAGAACGATTTTTTAAGTTTGAGCTTCAAAACTCTGAAGTGTGAATGCAGCCTTAGAGAGAAAACTATACTGTAGAAGATCAGGGAAACCATTTAGACAAGCATGCTCCTGAAAAATCACAAAAGTGAAAACTATTGGGTGCACACTTAGGGCTAAACTTAGACTACATTCATACTAAAGTTAAACGCTTGGTTAGGCTGAATAAAGTCCATCCCATTCAACCTGAGTGTGTTTATGTTATTACCATTTTCGATATCTTTGTACACTGTGCTCACCAAGAAAGAGTAGGCACCTAGAGGTAAGCTGCACATCCTTCGCCCATTCTCTAGAATTTCTAAACCCACAAAACACTATATGCAAAAGAGCATGTCAACGTGTGTGCACAAAATGAATAATGGCTTCAGCAGTGAAATGGGGTAAACGATTGTACCCAACACAGCAGAAACTGAAAGTTCCTTTTTTTTTTTACATAAACGGTAGCAAAAAGTTTATAAAAAAAGTTTTATTTGGTTTTACACATGGTTTAAGTAGAGTTTTTAGGTGCAACACTGCAACTGTTTCCACTTGTCTATCCTGCCTGCACCTAACAGCTGTACTTTTAATTTCTCTATCAGATCATCTCCCATAGTTATTACCTTTTATATCATTTGACCCTCCATCCTATTTTGTAAGCTCTAATGAATAGTATTCTAACCGTATTGTCTGCCCTAATGTTGTAAAGCGCTGCCTAAACTGTTGGAGCTATATAAATCCTGTCTTACATTAACCACTTGAGCTCCAGAGGATTTACCCCCATTAATGACCAGGCCTCTTTTTGCTACTCGGCGCTGCACTAATTCAACTGATAATTGCACGGTCATGCAACGCTGCACCCAAACAAAATTTACGTCCTTTTTTTCACACAAATAGAGCTTTCTTTTGGTGGTATTTGATCACCTGTGCGCTTTTTATTTTTCACGCTATAAACAAAAAAAGGCCAAAAATTTTGAAGAAAAACAATATTTTTTACTTTCAGCTATAAAAAATATACAGTAAACTCAAAGTTAGTTATAAATTTAGGCCAAAATGTATTCTGCTCCATGTTTTTGGTAAAAAAAATCCCAATAAGTGTATATTGATTGCTTTGTGTGAAGTTATAACGTCTACAAACTATGGTATAGATACTGCAATTTACGCCATTTTTCTGCTATACAGCGCTGCGCTAGTTTAACGGACAATTGCGCAGTCATGCAATACGGTACATAAATGAAATTTACATCCTTTTTCCCCACAAATTCAGCTTTCTTTCGGTGGTATTTGATCGCCTGTGCGGTTTTTATTTTTTGCGCTATAAAAAAAAAGGCTGACAATTTTGAGGAAAAAAAAACAATATTTTGGACTTTTTGCTATAAAACATGTCCAGTAAAAAAAAAAATGCAAAAATCAAATTTAGTCATAAATTTCTGCCAAAATGCATTTTGCGACATGTCTTTGCTAAAAAAAACCCAATACGTGTAAATTAATTGGTTTACGTGAAAGTTATAGCGTTTACAAATGGCGAGAAAGATACTGGAATTTTTAATTTTTATTTATACTAATAATGGCGCCGATCAGCGACATATGGCGGCACATATGACGGCGACCAGCGACATATGACGGCGACCAGCGACATATGACGGCGACCAGCGACATATGACGGCGACCAGCGACTTATGGCGGGACTGCGGGACTGAGACGGACATTTTGACACTGGGGGGGAACTGACTTGGGGTCACTGACATCCCCAGTGACACCAATACAGTGATCAGTGAAAAAAAACCACTGAAACTGTATTAATGTCACTGGGGAGGAAGGGGTTAACATTTTTAGTGTTCACTGTGTGAGGGGAGTGTTTTACTAAGGGGGCGGGGGTGTGTGCTGGACGGGGGAGGGAGGGGGGAGCTGATCGAGGGAGAGAAACTGTATTCTCCCTCTGCAGCTTGGCGGCGAACTGTCACAGAGCAGGCTGTGTGTAAACAATGCAGCCCTGCTCTGTTTCAGTGTTTACCGCTCATCGCGGGAAAACGGCCGGTAAAAACCGGCGGGGACCCGCTGCTGACACCCGTGGGACAGGTAGGGCGGGCGCGTGCCTCGCGCGCGCCCCCCTGCCTGTTTTGTAGGCACACGTTTTAAAACGTGCTTTTGCCTACGAGCGCCGCCCTGCCACCGTTTATATGCGGTGGCTGGGCGGCATGTGGTTAAATCCTGCACAGACTGAGGTGGCAAATCCTCTGCAATTTGTTCAGACGTATAAATAGTCTTTCCTCCACTGGAAAAAGAAATCTGATCGAATAACCTTCTTGTGCATCTCCTTTCCCCTCCCCTGAACTCACTTCCCCCGAACAACAGGGAGATCCTTCCCCTCTCTAAATCAGAGACTATGTACGTTACATGCGAAGCTAAGGGAGTAAAATTAACAAGAGTGCGTTCACTAGGAAGGGAAGCAGCTTGAGACATAGAAGGCTGCTCATGCAGAGTGCAAAGTGGCAATAATTTCTTCCCTCAGAGCACATGAAATTCTTAATGAAGGAGACAGAACCAGCAACAGAAACACATTTCTCGCAAATCTTTTTAGTGTATGAATCAGAAAGCTTGGAGCTACAGCTCCCACATCTCCTGGATTTGCAAGATTGCTAGGCAAAACCAGAGAGAAATATACACAGCTCACTGAACCCTCTCCCTGATCCTCAACCCCCACCATTTCTCTAACCACAGATACCATTGCTCCCTTACCTCAGCAGCCGGGGTCTTGGACCCTTCAGATGAGGTGCCCTGGTTGGCCTAGGGTGAGGCATGTCTGGTCCTAGCTCTGCAATCTCTCCCTCCTGCATGCTGGGGTGTTTAGTGCCACAGCACCATTATTCCAGAACATCCACTGAAGTCACCGGTGGCTCCCCACGATCTCCCCATAGCAAAAAAGTGTTTCCTCAGTTTAAAAAAAAAAAAGCTGCCTCGGCATGTCCTCATTGACCGGAAGTGCATCATCGCAAAACGCTGGAAGTGCTGGTGCCACTATCCTGGAAAACCCTTCCGGCCACCTCAATAGCCGCAGGAAGTGACGCACTACCACCATCTTGGAAGGACCAGGAAGACACCACCGCCAGCAGAGGAAAAGAAAGCCATGGAAAACCAATGTATCCAGAGGAAACAAACACACACACTCTAAACATTTTCCAATATTGAATGGAAGTCCTGTCTCCTGGGAGAACACTGCCATGGGCCAAAAAAAAAAAAAAAAAAAAAAAAAAAAGCATCTGGAGTTGGTCAATAAAACACAGAGGAGCGAGATACAGGTAACTTAACTAAACACTTCTCAGTGGAAACAACTTCCCTGAGGCAGTACCCACAAGCAGGCTCACCAGGACTCGAGGTAATTAACAGGCAACCACAATTACCCACACCAACAGAAAACAAAAAACCTAGCAATGCGTTCACTTGGAGGGTCAGAAACAATTACAGAGGACAAGGGGGAGAAAGGGGCTTTTTAACTGGTCTCAGTATTGTGTTTCCTGTAGAGGGCAGAGCCAGTATTTCATTTTGCCGTCCTGGAAGACGCATAGGGAAAATTGCATTTGTGTACCAGTTTGGTCCACAAAATTGTGTTCAGCTGCTGACCATATAGTTGAATTTCCCCATAGGCACAGAGACAAAAAGAACATTATACCAGAAAGCACAGAACCAGATGGAAAAAACACAAGAAAAAAAAAAGCCCTGAATTTTACATCCTGTTCCTTCCAAGCTGTAATACTTCTAGTGACAGAAGTAAAAGGGTTAAGTCCACTGACAAGAATACACCAGTTTATGTAGATATACTCACAGAGGTCATGAGCTGTTCTGTTAAGGCTGCCACCTCCTGTTGCTTCTGAAGCAGGAGTGGCACACCGAGTTCTAATGCTGTTGCGGCTCTTAATCGAACCTTGGGTGCAGAGTGCAGAGTGAACAACCAATGGGATAATAATCTTTGCCCATCGGACTGCCTCATCTGTCATCTGAGCAGGTGTCTGTTCCAACAGTCTGGGGAAAAAAGTAACCAAAAAAAAAGTTAGATTAATATTTTCATTTCTACCTGCTTTTAAAAGAGACCTTAGGTACACATGAAAAAATCATCATTTAAGACCTATTGGAATTCTCAATTGACAAAAACTAACGAAAATCAATGCCAATTTTCATCAAAGAACAAAAACGTGAATGAAAATGTGAGGGAGCAGTTTTTTTTTTTTTTTTTTTTTTTTAAAGAGAAGGGGAGAGAAAGGTACCAGGATTTTATTAATATAAAAAGGTCTAAAATAATGGTAATGCACTCACAAGCTTCAGTGTGAAACAGGCATAGAATTAGCTCAATGCGAAGCCGTCAGTAGTGGTAATAGTCCCATCTGAAGGAGGTGTGCTTTTGACTCTGAAACGCATTCCTGACTGGCTACTAGCACCCAGACTTTTGACAGCTCCATCTGACAGTTCTTCCAAGGTTCCAGCAGCGGCTCTCAGACTGCTTCTTTGGATCTCATCACCGGCACCTACTGTCTCTCCATGATCCCGGCAGCTCCAGTTGGGGCTATTACCACTATTGACTGCTTCACATTGAGCTAATTCTATACCTGTTTCACACTGAAGCTTGAGAGTGCATTACCATTGTTTTTATGCATTTTATATGAATAAAATCTTGCTGCATGATTGGTGTCCTGGTGCCTCTCTCCCCTTCCCTTACAAAAAAAAAAAAACCCTTTCTTACATTTAGATTTTAGTCAACTAAAATGTACTAGAGATTTTAGCTGACTCAAACAATTCAAATGACAAAATCTAAAATGGCATTTCAGGAAAAAAGAAAAAAAAAAAAAAAAAAGCAATGGCTAAAACTAAATCAAAATTTGATATCAAAATTAACACTGGACCTAAGTGTTCAGATTCTCTTAACAGATTCTGAGCAAGACCATGCTAAGGGTCTTGCTCAGAATAGGTAAGGGAAAAAAAAAAAAATACTGCAACACAGTTTGCTAAGAACAATCTGCTCCAGGCTACCTCTAGTATTGTTCATGTGACCAAAAGCATAGACACGATGAAGGGGTAGATCAGAGTTCAGCTCTGCTGATCCTTTTCAGCAGATATTAAGTGACAAAGGCCCAGGCTTTAGGTCGACAAGAACCCTTAACATAGTCGAGGTACCTAGGAAAGACATTTTACCCCTTCTACTACTAGAACTATTCTAGTCTGGTAACATAGCATTTAAGTATAGGACTACTTCCACTGACTATAGTAGTTAGCTACACACAGTCTACAAAAGATATTCTCTTTCAAACATTCCAGGATCGGCACTAAAACCGAACCCAATTGACATCACAAGTGATATATATAAATGACAGTCCTATAGCCCGTTGTAAATTTGTATCAGCGACCGTTATCATTTTAAACAGGATAAGTGCACCTTTATTAACATTTTACAACTTACACCTGCATTTAAGGTGTACATGTAAAAAATGTTACCATGCAGCAACCCCATCCCACCATAACAGTGGCAAGGGGGAGCCTTTCTCCGCACCCACTGTCACATTTTAAAAGGGTTCTCCGCCTGCACAGTCACATTCATTCATTCAGGAATCTTTGAATGAAGAAACTACAGGACCCATCTTCCACCATGGCAGATGGCTTGTAGTTAATATTATTATTATGCAGTATTTATATAGCGCCAGAAAGGTTTGCTCAGCACTGTACATTATAGTGGGGGACAGAACATGAGACAATACAGTAACAAAATACACGAGGGGTTTGAGGGCCCTGCTCTTTCGAGCTTACAATCTAGGAGGGAGGGGAAAGTGGTACAGGAGGAAGTGGCTATGGGGGATGGAGTGGTAGGAGGAGTGGAGGAGATCGGCTGTTAGGTGAGGGTGGTGTAGGGCTTCCCTGAAGAGATGAGTTTTCAGGGTGCGCCTAAAAGGTTAGGAGGGTAGGTGACAGTCTGATGGATTGGGGTAGTGAGTTCCAGAGGATGGGGGAAGTCCTGGAGAACTCCTGCAGTCGGGTGTGGGAGGTGGAGACCAGGGAGCTAGAAAGTAGGTGGTCTTGTGAGGAGCGAAGATTACGGGTAGGGTGGTATTTAGGTATCAGGTCGGTGAGGTAGTTTGGGGCAGCGTTGTGAATGGCTTTGTATGTCAGTGTTAGTAGTTTGAATTTAATGCATTGGGCAATCGGGAGCCAGTGGAGGGAATGACAGAGGGGGGTGGCAGTATAGGAGCAGTTGGTAAGGTGGATGAGTCTGGCCGCTGAGTTCAGGATAGACTGAAGCGGGGATAGTCTGTGATGAGGTAGGCCGGTGAGGAGGGAGTTGCAGTAGTCCAGGCGTGAGATAATGAGGGAGTGAACGAGTTGTTTAGTAGTGTCTGGGGTTAGGAACGTACGTATTTTGGAGATGTCGCGGAGGTGGAGCCTGCATGAGTTTTCCAACGTTTGGACATGGGGTTGGAAGGACAGGTTTGAGTCTAGAGTGACACCTAGGACTTTGGCTTGCGGGGTGGGACTGATGGTGGCGTTGTTAGTCATGATGGAGAGGGGGGGGGGGGGGGCGCAGGCTGGGGGAAGATTAGGAGCTAGGTTTTGGAAAGGTTCAGTTTGAGGAAATGGAGCGACATCCAGTCTGATATGTCGTTCAGCAGGTGGGCGATACGGGCGGAGACTGAAGGGGTGAGGTGAGGGGTGGAGAGGTAAATTTGCGTGTCATCGGCGTAGAGGTGATAATTGAAGCCGTGGGAGTGTATCAGTTTGCCGAGGGAGGAGGTGTAGATGGAGAAGGGGCCTGAGGACAGAGCCTTGGGGGACCCCAACATAGAGGGGGAGGTGGTAGCATTATAGGTTACGCTGAAGGAGCGTTGGGATAGGTAGGAGGAGAGCCAGGAGAGAGCGGAGTCTCTGATGCCGAGTATAGTTTGTTAAGGAGAGGAGGGGGTGGTCAACTGTGTCGAAGGCGCGGAGAGGTCAAGGAGTAAAAGGACTGAGTAGTGGCCATTAGCTTTGGCGGTTAGCTGGTCATTAGTGATTTTGAGTACGGCGGTTTCGGTGGAGTGTAGGGGACGGAAATATACTTCTCAATGGACTGTAATGGGGTGATGTTTCCCTCATAGTCCATTCACTTTTCCCCTAGCTTTGTAACCGAAAGCCTTCATGGAAGTATAGGCACAAAGCTAGAGGAAGAGCATACAGGAGCCTTTTCTCTGCAGGCTGCTAATGAAAAATAAATAAATCCCAATTTTTACACCTGCAAAAACATGGTTTTTTTTTTTTTTTTTTTTTTTTAAGGTGAACTTATCCCATGTGTTAAAGTAAAAATATTTCTTACTTTATAACAACATTTAGTGCTTCATAGGCAATGACAACTGACTGCACATCTTTGTTTAATACGTTTTCTAATGTAGAAAGAATTGACAGTACCTGGAAAACAAAAAACAACTATACGTCAACTTTCAAATTACATAGCAGGTTTAAACAAATTGACATCAAATTCTGGGGTATGAATTTGGAGGCAGACTTATCAATGAACCATTAAATACATTCTGAGGGGGCTCTCAAAAAAAAAAAAAAAAAAAAAAAAAAAAAAAAAAAAAGGTTCTCAATGAGACTAACAATTTAGTTTTCTGTGTAATGGGTGCAGTGGCTAAATACATTTTTGGAGAACTCACCGCCTTTCCAACATCTTCTGCAGAGAAGTGCTGTTTTGAAATCACCCAAAGTGCTCTTGTGCATGTGTTTTTATCAGTTGCTTTTACAGCAATACTGTTAAGTGACGACAGTAATTCTTGTACCTCAGTTGCTAAAAGAAAAACATGCAGAAATGGTGTAAGGAACGTATCTTAAGTGTGCAGAGAAAATACAGGCCTCTCCTTTTAAAGCAATCCGGGAACTAATAAACATTTATATGCGTCAGCTGAGCACACACCGTGGTTGCCGAAATGTCTAGGACAATAAGTTTTTATCTTCTTATGGAAAGCTATGAATTTTGTTAGACTTTGTTAGACTTTCATAAAAAAAAAAAAAAAAAATATGATACACACTGAAGCAATAGCAAAAACAAAAAAAGTCCAAGTCCTGGAATAAATGCTTAGCATTCCCCTTATTCTGGTTAAAGGACATTCCCAGTTAAACTGCAGTCATTTAAGCTATTCAGAAGCTCAGTATTTAAATACAACTAAAGCAAACTGATTAAATAAAACAAAAGGGTGCTGTCCCAACCTTTCAAACTAAAAAATTAAAGGGGAAGCAGCTCTTTACGGTGTGAAAAAAAATAAAAATAAAAAAAGTGGGCTATTCTCACTATTATTACAGTGAAATGATGCTCAATTGCCTCTATAAACAATCAAATCATGTCTTTATAGTGTCCATTCAAACAGATATAATCCATCCAATAGCTTTCAGTAAATTTCACTCAACTCTGTAAACAACACCTGTGTGAAATCCAGCCGATCCAATTCATCACCACATGCGATAAACAATAAAAAATTTCCAGATCCCCATCAATTCATGCATATCACATAACCAAAAAAGGAGGCAGCAGATGTCCCTGGGGTCGTTGTAGTAATAAAGTACGACAGTATGACAACACATACTCAAAACAAGAATGATTTCTTCCATGATGTAGTATATATTTTAGATCTACATGTACCACTTCAGGCACTGGAATAACCGCATGGAGTGGATGCAAACCACTAAGCTCCACCGCTCTGCCTGTCTGAGCTGGCGTGCGCTCTACAGGCTGAATCCAAATCATTAGCTGATTTTAACCACTTGCGCTCTAGAGGGTTTACCCCCCTCCTGATCAGGCCATCATTTTGCGATACAGCATTGTTACTTTGACAATTGCGTGGTCATGCGACACTGTACATAAATTATTTGTGGAATTTTTTCCCCCCACAAATAGAGCTCTCTTTCCGTGGCATTTGATTACCTCCGCGGTTTTTATTTTTTTTTTTGAGCTATAAACAAATAAAAGACCAACAATTTTGAAGAAAAAAAAAAAATGTATTTTATAATATATATATTTATACACACACACACATATATATATATATATATACACACACACACACACACACACACACACACACACACAGTTCCAAATTATCCAAATTCTATTTAAGTGTCACAAAGATTAAATATTTTGTTTTTCAGTTTAACTCATGGATGGCATTGTGTGTCAGGGCTCTTTTGATCACTGAAAACAATCTCGGACACCTGTGATAATTAGATTGGCAGGTGAGCCCAATTTAAGGAAAAACTACTAAAGGAGGGTGTTCCATATTATTAAGCAGGGCACCATTTTCAAGCAATATGGGGAAGAAAAAAAGGATCTCTACTGCCAAAAAGAGTGAAATAGTTCAATGCCTTGGACGAGGTATGAAAACATTAGATATTTCACAAAAACTTAAGCGTGATCGTCGCACTGTTAAGAGATTTGTGGCTGATTCAGAGCACAGATGGGTTTGTGCAGATAAAGGCACATTGAGGAAGATTTCTGCCAGATCCATGTATCGGATCAAGAAAGCAGCTGCTAAAATACCATTACATAGCAGCAAACAGATATTTGAAGCTGCTGGTGCCATTTGAGTAAAACTGAAGATGTTGTAATCCAAGCTATATTATTAACCTTACTTTCATGTGATGAGCTAAACAAATGTTCTATAAAACTCAGTTGTCAGAATTTTGTTTTTTCTGTTCATTGAGCTATTGATTAAAAGCTTACTTTTCAAAAAGGGATGTACTCATTTATGCTGAGCAATGTATGCTTATTTATGGAGGCAATTATAGCATGTTTTATGTATGTATGTATATATCATTTTGGGCTCAACTGAGCATCATTTCACTAAGTGGGAATAGCACCTGTTTATTACTGATTTTTTAAAGGAAGCACACATTGTATTTGAAAATTTTTTTTAAAATACAGAACAGCATTTTATGACAGCAGGAGAGTATGACATCTCACAAAAAGAAAAATGAAACCGCCTGTTATTTAAATGTCATACAAGGTATACCTGTATGTTGACATGTCTGATGGTTACTGAGGCGACTATATTTTTACTGTTTGGGCAGTTGTACACTCATGGTGGTATCTAATAAAGGCCAATTGGGTCCAAAACATTCTACCCAGCGGGTTTATAATGGTTAAATTCCTACAGTCCGAAAAAAATTATACCCTCCATTTTCTCTGCTTATTGCTGAAGTACAGTATGGATAGGTGAATACTGGAAAACTGTGTAATGTGCCAGCAACATTTTTTATAAAGCTCAGCTGCAACCAAAACTTGCTTTTATCAGTTTTGCACAGGAGGTAGCTTAGAACCTGTCAGGTTATTGCAGTCCAAGTCCCCATTGGGATAGGAATTTTTTTTGTAGGCATATACAATGCAATAAAATACAATTTGTAAGCAAAATAAAGAATACTTCCAAACGCTACTGGATTATTATTACTGTCTGTCTTACTGTCCAAGAAGTGACAACCCCTCCCCTCGTTTCTTGGCCAGGGAGAGGAAGAAAGGTAAACTCTCCAATGGGATGAGACACAACAGCACAAAACAAGGCCCACCGCACAAAAACATGTAATAGCAAAAAAAAAAAAAAAAAAAAAAAAAAAAAACTATGGTATTGAGAAAATAATCAAAACATAACAGCAATAAAAGAAACTTCCTTGAGGAGAAAAGTGAACATTCTTGCCAGTAATACCTGATATGCTGCATGCTATGTTACTGTAAAATACACAAAATCCCATTGTTTGAAGTGCTGCATTACTGAGGTCTGAATTCTGGTGAGAAATGTGTGTCTGAAAAACAAAATGCTATGTTAAGGACATGTGAAAAGAAAACAATATAATCTGGAAAACTAAAAAAGGTATTTATTGTTAATCAAAATTCAGTATAGATAGGAGTTAATCTTTTCCTTCAATTTGAATTCACTTTTGTTAAGAAAAAAAAAAAAAAATCTTCTGAGTGATCAATGTACATTGCAAGTATTTATCAACCTTTTTTTGCAGAGTCCTACCTGATTCTACTCTGAAGAAAATAGCTGTTTGCTGTTCTATGTCTTTGGGCTATTGAATCTGAATGGGAGTGAATTTATCATTATTGATCAGCTGATGCACATGTATTGCTTTAAGGATAAGTTCACCTTTGGAATATGTCACGTTTCACCCATTTTTATGGTGAAACATGGAACATGTTCCCATAGCTACAGCCGTGCCTGCCGCCCCCTCCCACTGACAGATAGTTTCCCCATACTATCTGTAATATTAGAAAAAACTGTGAGGGGTGCCGCCCACACAGCCGCAACACTCATTCACAGAGTTCTGTGAAAAACTGCTTACAAGTCCCGACAGCCTTAGCGACTGTGTTTTGAAGTTTTCAATTACCACGGTGCTGTGGAGCGCCGTGGTAGTTCATTGAAGCTTCCTGTCAGTATATCTGCTTGACTGTACATCCCATATGACAAGCAGATATTTTGACAGGTCTGCAGGAGATGTGCATGGCATCATGATCTACTGATCACTCGTGCAATGCTTTCCAGGCTCCTCTGGACAAAAATAATAAATGCACCTTTTTTACATGCAAAAAAATGTGCATGAATTATTTTTGTCCAAAAGGTGAACTTATCCTTTAATGTGTGTGTTTACACAAGTGACGAGTCTACCTACAGTGGGTAAAATAAGTATTGAAAACGTCACCTTTATTCTAGGGAAATATATTTCTAAAGCAACTATTGACATAAAATTTTCACCACGTCAGCAACCTATGCAATCCATACAAAGAAACAAGACAAATAAGTTCAGAAATTAAGTTATGTGTAATAAAAATGGAATGACACAGGGAAAAAAGTATTGCACTCACACAAAGAAAAGCAGGCGCAAAAAGGCATGGAAAGCCAAGATACCAGCTAAAATCTATCAGTCATTAGAAAGTAATCCCCTTGTCAGTGCAAATATCAGCTGGTTCAGTCTCAACTGAAGGTCTATAAAAAGGTGTCTCATTACCAAGGTGTCACACAACAAACATCTCAAGATGGATAAAATCAAAAGAGCTCTCTCAAGACATTTGGAACCTTATTGCTGCAAAACATACTGATGAAATTGGTTACATACATTGGTTTCTAAACTTCTAAATGTTCCGGTGAGCACTGTTGGGGCCATAATCCACAAGTGGAATGAACATTTCACCATAAGCCAGCCACAACCAGGTGCTCCTCACATTTCTGACAGAGGAGTGAAAAGAATTATCAGAAGAGTTGTCCAAGAACCAAGTACTACTTGTCGAGAGCTTCAGAAAGACCGAGAATTAGCAGGTACAATTGTTTCAAAGAAAACAATAAGTAATGCACTCAACCGCCATGGCCTGTATGCACGGTCACAACACAAGACTCCATTGCTGAAGAAAAAGCATGTTGAAGCTCATTTAAAGTTTGCTGCACAACATTAGACAAGCCTGTGATATACTCGGAGAATATAGTCTAGTCGGATGAAACCAAAATTGAACTCTTTGGATGCCATAATGCACATCATGTTTAGAAGTCAAATGGCACTGCACATCACCCCAAAAACACCATGCCAACAGGGAAGTCTGGAGGGGGGCTGTTTTTCAGCATACGGTACTGGCAAAGTTAACTGAAGGAACAATTAATGGAAAAATGTACCAAGACATTCTTGGTAAAAATCTGCTGCCATCTACCAGGATGATGAAGATAAAACGATGGTGGATATTTCAGCAAGACAATGATTCCAAACACAAAGCCAAGGAAACTCTCAATTGGTTTAAAAAAAAAAAAAAAAAAAAAAAAAAGAAAATGAAAACTGCTAGAATTGCCCAGCCAATCACTTGACTTATTTATTTATCGAGTTTATATAGCGCCAAAGGGTTTGCTCAGCGCTGTACAATAGAGGGGGGGGGGACAATACATGAAACAGAACAGTAACATCAAACAGTACACAAGGGGTAAGAGGGCCCTACTCTTTCGAGCTTACAATCTAGGAGGGAAGGGGTAGACGCACAGGAGGAAACGGCTGTGGGGGATGGAGTGGTAGGAGGAGGGAAGGGCAGCGGCTGTTAGGTGAGGGTGGGGTAGGCTTCCCTGAAGAGGTGGGTTTTCAGGGAGCTCCTGAAGGTGAGGAGGGAAGGTGACAGTCTGATGGATTGGGGTAGTGAGTTCCAGAGGATGGGGGAGGACCTGGAGAAGTCTTGCAGTCGTGCGTGGGAGGAGGAGACCAGGGAGCAAGATAGAAGGAGGTCCTGTGAAGAGCGAAGGGTACGGGTAGGGTGGTACCTGGGAATCAGGTCGGTGAGGTAGTTAGGGGCAGTGTTGTGAATGGCCTTATAGGTCAGGGTGAGCAATTTGAATTTAATGCGTTGGGCAATGGGGAGCCAGTGGAGGGAGAGGCAGAGGGGGGTGGGCAGATGTGGAGCAGCTGGTGAGGTGGATGAGTCTGGCAGCTGAGTTCAGGATGGTCTGAAGCGGGGAGAGTTTGCACTGGGGTAGGCCGGAGAGGAGGGAGTTGCAGTAGTCAAGGCGTGAGATAATCAGGGAGTGTACGAGTAGTTTAGTGGTGTCTGGGGTAAGGAAGGAGCGTATCTTGGCGATGTTCCGGAGGTGGAGCCTGCATGTGTTTGTGAGTGATTTGATATGAGGTTGAAAGGAAAGGTTTGAGTCCAAAATGACGCCAAGGACCTTGGCTTGCTGGGCGGGATTGATGGTGGTGTTGTTGGTAGTGATGGAAAGGATGGGGGGGGCGCGGGCTGGGGGGGGAAGACGAGAAGCTCGGTTTTGGAGAGGTTGAGCTTGAGGAAATGGAGCAACATCCAGTCAGAGATGTTGTTTAGGAGGTGAGTGATGCGGGCGGAGAATGTGGGGGTGAGGTGAGGGGTGGATAGGTAGATTTGAGTATCATCAGCGTAGAGGTGCTAATTGAAGCCGTGGGAGTGTATGAGTTTGCCAAGGGAGGAGGTGTAGATGGAGAAGAGAAGGGGTCCAAGGACAGAGCCCTGGGGGACCCCAACAGAGAGGGGGAGGGAAGAGGAGGTGGCATCGTTGTAGGAAACGCTGAAGGAGCGTTGGGATAGATAGGACAAGAACCAAGAGAGAGCGGTGTCTCTGATGCCAAGGGAGAGTAGTTTATTAAGGAGGAGGGGGTGGTCGACTGTGTCAAAGGCCGCGGAGAGGTCTAGGAGGAGGAGGACAGAGTAGTCGCCTTTGGCTTTGGCGGTTAGTAGATCGTTGGTGATTTTGAGGAGGGCAGTTTCGGTGGAGTGTAGGGGACGGAAGCCGGACTGTAGTGGGTCAAGGAGGTTGCTGTCAGTTAGGTGGGCGCTTAGGCGATCGAAGACCAAGCGCTCAAGCAGCTTGGAAGTGAGTGGCAGCAGGGAAATTGGTCTGAGGTTGTTGAGGTCAGTGGGGTCCAGGGAGGGCTTTTTGAGTATGGGGGTGATGTGCGCATGTTTTAGGGGGGAGGGGAAGACGCCAGTAGAGAGGGAGAGATTGAAGATGTGGGTAAGGAGCGGATGAGGGAAGAGGGGGGTGACCGGAGGAGTTGAGAGGGGATAGGGTCCAGGGGGCAGGTAGTGAGGCGGGCTTCTGAGAAGACTCTGGTGACTTCCTCAGTGGTAGTAGGGCTGAAGGAGTGCAGTGATGGGGGGGTTACGGTAGGCAGGGCCTTGGGTGTGGTGGGGGGCAGTGCCGTTGCGAGGTCAGAGGAGGGGAGAGATGAGGGGGTGATGGAAGGGGGGGAGGCAGATTGCGAGTTGACTATGTCCTTGCGAATTGCGTCAATCTTGTTGTGGAGATGAGTGGCAATCTCGTGGGCGGTAAGTGAGGTACTGAGTGGAGGAGGGGGGGGGGGGGGGGGGGGGGAGAGCAGGGAGTTGAAGGTGGAGAAGAGTTGGCGAGGGCAGGTGGAGAGGGTGTTGATCAGGTTAACGAAGTAGGCCTGCTTGGCGGCGTGGAGGGGAGGAGGTGTAGGTGAGGAAATCCAATAGAAAATCTATGGAAAGAACTAAAAGATCAGAGTTCACAGAAGAGGCCCTCCACAGAACCTTCAAGATTAGAAGACCGTTTGTGTGGAAGAATGGGCCAAAAATCAGGAGCAATGCAATGCGACTAGTTTCTCCATATTGGAGGCATCTTGAAGCTGTCATTACCAACAAGGATTTTGGATGAAGTATTATTTATTTTTTTTGTATGAACGGATTATTACCGACATGTAGTGAAAATTTTATGTCAATAGCACCTTTAGAAATATATTTACCTAGAAAAACAGTGACGTTTTCAATACTTATTTTACCCGCTGTACTATTAAAACCTGTTTTTTTTGTTTTTCAGGATTTAATTGAGTGCAATGACTACACTTCTGCTTCCCCAGAATACCCTGAGAACACGACAGTGTCGTATGTCACGACAACAGGCCCTCTCTGCACTCCAATCCCTGCCCATCAGAGCAGATCACATGCAGACCGTTTGCTCACAAAAACAAGGACACACCCATGACACACCCCCACTATGCAGAAATGCAGCATTGCATGCTGGGAAATGTAGTTTCTTACTTCAATTATAGGGCTTATTTGCAAGGTGAAGAACTAGATTACATTAAGGCAGCACAAATGCTGGTCAGACATTTAGATGTCTATTTTCCAATGATTGCTGATGCATGCATGTTACCCTACGCCTGTTAAGACCTTAAAATGTACTATGAATGCAGTTAGCCAGAAATTAAACCTATGACTACCAATCTCAAGTACGATCCCCATCTTGCATGAGAGATTTTCCGCAAAAATGTATGGGTGTCAACTGTAGGTG